GGGTTACTGGAGGGTGCTGGGCAAACCGGGAGTAACTGGGAGGTGCATTGGGACCTCTGTGCCTGGGGTTGTGAGGCCTGGGGTGTAATGGGGGTTACTGGGAGGTACTGGGAGACCTGAGGTGTGGGTCTCCCGCAGCTGCGTTGGGGTGGAGGAGGAGGCGGCGGCCGAGATCGACCTCTACCACTGCCCCAAGTGTGAGGTGCTGCACGGCCCCTCCGTCAGTGAGTCCCCTATAGCGCTATACGGGACCAGGGCTGGGCCTTATAGGGACCTTTGGGGTTGGGGACATATGGGGAGGGGGCTGGGGGGGTCTCCCTGGGCTGGTTTCCCCATATGGGGCCTTATAGGGTCTTATGGGGCTGGGGATGTATGGGGTGGGGGTGGGTCTTGCTGGCCTGATTTCTCCCTATGGGGTCATATAGGGTCCTATAGGACCAGATATGGGTCTTATGGGGTCATGTAGGAGAGATCTGGGCCTTATAGAGCCCTATGGGGTTGGGGACAATAAGGGGGGGTGGATCTTGCTGGGCTGGTTTCCCCCTATGGGGCCATATGGGACTGGGTCTGGGCCTTATAGAACCATATAGGACCAGATCTGGGTCATATAGGATCAGGTCTGGGCCTTATAAGAGGTATATGGAGCTGGGGATGTATGGGGTTGGGTCTTGTTGGGCTGGTACCCCCATCCTGGGCCATATGGAACTGGGACCATATGGGACTGGGGCTGATTCCCCTATTCTGGGCTGTATGGAGCCATATGGGGCCAGGTCCATATGGATATGGGACTGGTTCCTCCATCCCAGGTCATATGGGGTCATATGGAACCGGGACCATATAGGACCAGGGTTGGTTCTGCCAACCATACGGGAGCAGGGCTGGGCAGGTTCACCCATCCCTAGTCATATGGGGGCTTTATGGAACTGGGTCTATATGTACCCGGGTCCATGTGGATCCATATGTGCCGCAGTGAAGCGTCGCCGGGGTCCGCCAAAGCCTCCGGAGGTGGAGCCAGGTCGCCCTGTCCGCACTGGCAGTGCCCAGTTCATCCGGGAACTACGGGGTCGGACTTTCCCCAGGTGAGGGGGACGTATAGAGACGGGCCCTATGGCCGCTATAGGAGCCATCGGGGAGCTCTATAATGTCTCAGGGCGGCATATGAGTTTAGGACTGGTCCACATAGGGAGGCAGCCCTGAGCTGATAAGGCGTGGTGGTGTCTTCCCTCCCTATAGGTCCTATAGGGGCTGTTGGGGTCCTATAGGGGCTGTACCACTTCTCAGCATGCTAAGGGAGCTCTAGTAGTACCGTATAGGGGCTTTACAGTTTCTTAGAGCCCTCTATGGCTGTATGCTCTCCCAGAACACTACAGGAACTGCATTAGAGTTCTCTAAGACATATGTAGGTTATTACAGCGCTATAGGAGTCTCAGTATGGTGAGCTGTATGGTCTATGAGAGTGGTAAAGGGGCTGTATTGGTCATTAGGGTACTATGGGGGCCCTATAGAAGCTCTGTAAGGGCACTACAGCCTATTAGGGCCCTGTAGGGGCTGCATTGTCTATTGGGGCACCATATAAGAACTTTACAAAGTTGTTATAGGAGCTATAAAATGTGTATTATATGTTGGGGTACTGTAGGAGCTCTATAAAGCCATTACAGGATCTGTAGAAGCTGCATCACTCATTAAGCCACTATAGAAACCCTGTGAAGCCATTGTAGGACCCATAGCAGCTCCCCAATCATCTCCAGGCACCCTTTAAAGTCCTTATAGGACCTATAAGAGCTACAGTACCCATCAGGGTGCCATATAGGAGCCCTACAGGACCTGCATCACTCATCAGACCCCCACAGGAACCCAAAAAAGCCATTATAGGACTTATAGAAGCTTCGTTAACCATTAGACCACTATGTAGAAAACCTATAGAGCCATTATAGAACGTGGAAAATCTATGTAATGTTTTGGGGCAGTATGGGAATGCTACAAAACCATTACAGGATCTATAGAAGCTCTGTTGCCCATCAGACTGTTACCCGTAAGAACTTTACAAAGTCATTACAGAATGTATAGCATCTTTGCTGCCCATTAAGCCACTGTATAAAAAGCCTATGAGGCCATTATGGGACTTACAGAACCTATATCACATTTTGGGGCGCTATAGGAGTCTTACAAAGCTATTGTAGAACCTACAGGAGGTGCACCACTCATTAAGCCACCATAAGAACCCTACAAAACCATTACAGGATTTATAGAAGCTTTGTTAACCATTAGATTACTATATAGAAAGCCTAGAAAATCATTACAGGATTGAGAAAATCTGTATTATGTATTGGGGTGTTATAGAAGTTCTACAAGGGCATTATAGGATCTGTAAGAGCTGCGCCATGTGTCATGCCACCGTAGAAACAGTTTAAAGCCATTATAGGAGTTGTAGAATCTCTGTTACCAATTATACCACTATATAGAAAGCTAATTAAACTATTATAGTAATTACAAAATTTGTATCACATATGGGGGCACTATAGAAACCCAATAAAGCCATTATAGAATTTATAGGAGTTCTGTCACCCATCAGACTATCATAAGAAGCCTACGAAGCCATTAAAGGACTTACAGGAATTCCATTAGTCATTAGACTATTATATAGAAAATCTATGAAACTGTTGTAGCGCTTACAGAATTTATATCACATTTTTGAGCCCTACAAGAACCCAATAAAGCCATTATAGAATCTATAGGAGCTCCACCACCCACTAACCCCCCCAAAAAAACCCTACGAAACCATTTTAAAACCTCCAACCAATCCCTGATCCTCTCCCGACTCCATCAAAAGCCTCTATGGGATCTATAAGGGGACCGATAGGGACACTGGGGGGCTATAGGGTCTGCATACGTCCCTCTATACCCCCCCTATAGTGCCGACGAGGTGCTGCTCCGACCGAGCGGAGCCCAGCTGACGGTGGAATACTTGGAAGAAAAAACCTTCAGCGTTCCCATCTTGGTAGCCCGGAAAGAAGGATTGGGAATGACGTTACCCCCCCCCACCTTCACCCCGCGGGATGTAGAACATTATGTGGGTGAGTTTTGGGGGTTCTTGGGGGGTGGGGGGTTGCGGGGGGGGGTGTCCCCCTTGACTTTTCTATAGGGGATTTTGGTGGGGGGGTGCGGATCTATAGGGGCGGAGAAGATCATCGACGTCATCGATGTGGGGAGACAAGCCGACTGCAGGATGCGCCTGGGGGATTTCGTCGCCTATTTGGGGGGAGCCCGACGCGACCGCGTCCTCAATGTCATCAGCCTGGAGTTCTCTGACACGCGGTGGGTGATGTCATACCCCGCTGGGGACCTTTCTAGTATGTCCTGGTACCTCCCAGTAT